CATCTGCACCCCCTGTAAGGGCCTCAGCGTAAGTGAGACGGCCCCAGGTTTACAAGCTGCAGCTCTGCCTGGTGAAGGTGACAGGGTGACGTGCAGGGGGGCTGGTAGGTAGCTGTCCAGGCTGGATTACGCTGATGTTGTTTATTATCCGCATTATGGTAGCAACCGAGACCAATCCAGATCAGGGCCTTGCTGTGCTGGGCGCTGCCCGGCATAGAGTAAAAGACAGGCTTCGCCCTAAAGCGCTTACCAAGTAAATCTGAGACAAGAGGCTCCAGGTGGGTTTGGGCAGTCAGCAGGAGGGGACTGGGAGGGGAAGGACAAGGTTAGCTGGGTGAGCTTGTGCATGGCATTTGTCAGGGGCCAATGAGCGGGGGCAGATGATATTAACCCCTTCATAGCCAGAGTCCTTCTGGGCTGGCACTCCTCGCAAAGTACTAATCAGTAGGAAAGCTCTTGACTGCAGCTGGAGAGTCCCCAGAGTCGTGGCTTGGAAAGGGTTAACCCAGCATACAGCGTGGCCCCCAGAGAGGCATTAGTGACCAGCGCTAATCCTCAGCTTCTGACTGTTGGGTTCTGCTGTTATGGAAATGTGGGGCCTCGCCATTCTTAGCTCCCCAAAGCCCATCTCTCCCTGCAGAGCCCCTTTTTAGGTGCCCGCATTAGGAGGCTGGGCTGACAGTGAACTGAGTTGGCTTTTGCACCTGCCTCTGTGCAGCCCAGACACTGGGGGAGCTCTCTGTCTCTGTCTTTAATTTGTTACTTGAAACTATTCTTGGCTATAGGACCAGAGACACCTCACGCCCATACAGACAGCGGTCACTAGGGTTGGGTGCAGTTCTGCTGGGTCACAGGGAGAGCCGGAGTGTGAGCTGGCCAGGTTACAGCAGAGAGATGGGGAAAGGAGCCACATGGGCCTGGGAGGAAGGAGCAAAACTGCCCTTGATTTCTTCCTGTGAATGATTGTGGACTCCTCCATTACTCGGTGTCTGTCGTGGGGGTCCGGGTCTGTGTGACGGAGTGGGAAAGGGGGATGTGTGTACCTGTGACTGGGAGAATGAGAACGTCCATGGCCCCACTTGAGAGTGTTTAGAGAGAGAGAATTTTAGGGTGTAATCCAACCCCTACAAGAGTCTATTGTGGGGGTTCTTCCCCATTCCTTTGAAGCATCTGGCCGCTGTCAGAGAGAGGAGTGGGGTGGATGGGCCATCTGGCGGTGTCTCTGGGGGATTAATCTCTCTCTCTCTCTCTCTCTCTCTCTCCACTTCCCTCCTGGTGTCTGTCTCATGGAGGAGCTAGTTTTGGTTCTTTTCTTCCCCCCCCGTTCTGAACGTGGCGGTGACGTAGGACACGGTTGCCCCACAGAGAAATCCCCTCGGTGTCTGAGAGGCAGCCGTTGTATGGGGTGAAATCACACAGCCAGCTACTCTCGGGCATTCGGGTGGGGGAGCCAGAGCATGTCAGGGCAGAGGAAGAAGAGAGATGTGCAAGGGGCACTGGCGAAGGGCTCTGCCAGTGGAGGAGTGAAGCTCTCTCACTGTGTTAGCCCCTGGCTACTAGCCAGTCTTGTTCTGCACCTTCCCCGAGGCGAGGGTGTTGACGGAACCGTCTAGAACCAGCATGTTCTCAGCACATGCCCCGTCTCGCAGTGGGGACCCCACACCAGCGCACGGCCCAAGAGCTGAATAAAAGCAACAGTGGGAGGACGCTCATGCCAGTGGAGACCAGCCCAGTGGGGGCAGGACGTGGCTGGAGGGAGCTGGAGTCCCAGCCACGTTGACAGGGACTGCCTGCGAGACGGTTTCTGTCACAGACTCCCCGACTTTCTGGGGAAGAAACGGCTTTGGGGAGGCATGCAGGTGGCAGCAGTCAGGAACTGAACTGAATAAACTAGCAGCAGGGTTCGAAGCCGCGCACTCAGGGGCAGGGCTCTGCCTGCCCGGGGCTGAGGTTTAGAGCCTGTCCCCCTCTACTCACGCCACTTGCTGCTGCTTGTTCCTCCTCAATAAAAGACTTGTTCAAACCAAAGTTACCTTGAGATCCTCTCAGAGCCTTTGCCTGGATCCCAGCAATATTCCAAGCCTGGCTCTGGAACTGCAAATGTGGCACTCCTGCCTGGTTGGTTGGTGCTGTGGTGGCGCCTAAAGACCATAACCGAGATCATGGCCCCATTGTGCCAGGCGCTGCCCAGTGAGAGACTGTCCCTGCTCCAGAGCCCCTGCAGTCTGAATGGACCCGACACACACAGGCTGGAAAGAGAAACAGAGGCCCTGACCAAAGCCACCCTGCAGATCAGTGGCAGAGCTGGGGTCTCCTGAGGCCCAGCGCGGTACCCAGACTTCTCTTCTCCTCTGCTGATGGTGGCCTTTCCCCATAGTGGCTCAGAGCTCCACCTGAGAGATTCACTGGAAGAGGTAGCATCTTCTTATACCTGGTTTTAAATATTTTTCCTAAGGGCTGAAGCCAAGGCCCTGGGGAAGGTCAGGGCAGGAACCCGTTAAGCCAGGCCGGCCCCCTGTGGAGGTCACAGCCTGCAAAGCCTGATGCATCCATCTGCCTGCAGAGGCCTGGATTCTAGTCTCTTCCCCAAGAGCTTGGCTTTGCAGAGTGAATTCATCTGGTACCGGCGCCACATTTCCAAGGTGAGTTAGTGGGGCTGTAGCACATGGCGGGAGGCGAGACCAGCAGGGGAAAAACCAGGCTGAGAATTGCAGGAACCTCCTCTCTCCGAAATCCAGAGCACAGCCCAAGATGTCTGGGCATAAAATTGGTGCTATAGGAGATACAGGGGCTCCCCTCTGCCCAGTGCAGAGCACTCCCTCTGGCACCCGAGGAGCGCCGTGCCCAGGCCTGGGTGGGACGCAGCAAGGGGCATCACTCTCCCAACGAGTGCGGCTCTTTGGTCCTGTGGCTTGTGCAGTGGGTTGCCCTCTGGCACGGGGAGGGCGCTGGCTGCAGACACCCCTCAGCCCAACAGAGGGACGGCAGGAAGGTGCGTCTCCTTTAGCTCTCAGCCCCCATCTCTGCCTGCGTGGCCGCACTGTGCTCAGTACCCCGGCCTCTTCATGGCTCTGACCATGAGCCAGGCTTTGGCAACCCAGAGCCCTGCCCCTCCCATCCTGCTTGTGTAACCAGAGAGCTTATTCTAAACCCTGTGAGCCCCCCGTGGGCAGTGATAAGGAACCAGGTGCCGGTGGGGAGACGCAGAGCCCCCGCCCCCAGCTCAGGGGCACTCTGGAGGGCTAGAGCCTGAGTTCCCGGGGACGAAAGAACCTGGGATCCTCCGTGCTTGGCCACTTGTGCCTGGGCACTTCAGCAAAAGCAGATTGCCCTGAAGCGCAGACGCGGAACCCCGTGGGGGCTCTTTTATCCTGCACCCCCAGCTACACCCTTGAGCTCCCTCCTGGGGGAGAGGGAAGTTTGTGCCTTGAGTTCCAACCCTGTGATCCCAGGCAGACAGGAACAGAGTCCATCATCTGAGCTCCAACCCCAGCTCTGACATTGCTTCACCGGGTGCAAGTCCCGTCCCCCCTCTGGGCTCAATCTGCCCATCCGTGACCCTGATCTGCCTGCCTGGTGGGTGCCCGAAGTGCCGCTGGGAGGTGTGATCTCTTCACTCCATGCTGTTGGGTAAAGCACCACCAGGGAGGGTCTCCATACCCTGCCTCCTCATCCACGGGAGGGATCTCCTCTCCCTGGGCTGGCAGGGCTTAGCCTGGCACCCTCCCCAGGGGAAAGAGTTGGTTTCCGCAGGGGCTTTCCATAAGGCCCCCACTCTCCATAGCCCAGGCATCATCCTTGAACCCGAGCTCTCCTCCTCCTTCGCCGGCAGAACTGGCCATCACCATCTCGGCAACACTTCCCGAGGCCTCGCTTCTCCTCTCCTGGACTCCTCCCCCCGGGCCTTCAGCCCCTCTCTCCGGGACTAGTGCAACTCTCTTCTGCCAGGCTTGCCAAGCCCCGGTCAGCAGCATGGGCACAACGAGGTTACCCCCTCCTCTCCCCTCCCCACTCCGCCCTCTCCCTTCTGGGTCAGAATCGCCCTTGCTGTTTTCAGAGCCTAGCCCAGGGCTAGGGAACGGATCTGGCCCACCTGTTCCTCGTTAACAGCTGCACCAAGGACAGCCAGGCTCGATACAGACCTGATTTCTGTGAAGGGAGGGAGGCAGGAGATGGGTGAGGACGCTGGGGTAGAGGCTGTGATGAGCAGGGGGAAGGGTTTGGGCCTGGAGGCCCACATGGCTGCTGTAAGCGGATGGAAAAGGCCTGGGAGCTCCTTTGGTGATAAAGAGCAGGGCAAGACGCCAGATGGAGAGGGAGGCCAGCCCCCATAGTGGTGGGGGTGGAGGATACATACTTCTTGTGGAGTTACTGAATGAAAGGGAAACTGAGGCAGGGTGCCACAGAGCCACCCCAGGCCACCAGGTACACTTGGCAGGCAGCCAGTGCTGTTACAGAGCCCCTCAGACGCTGGGTCTCTGTTCTCTTCTCACCGATCTTTGGCTGTCTTCTGCCTTCATGCATCTCCCCACTGTCGGGGCAAGAACTTTCCCCTCCACAGCTCGTACTACCAGGCCCAGCCACCCTATCCCTTGCTGCCTCAGCAGCTCCCCGGCTCCTTTCGTAGCCATCTGGAGCCTCCTCTCTCTCCTTCCCTGCCACTGTGCTAATTCCTTTCCCCTTGGGATCTTGGGCTGGGTGCAGACTCTGCCCCTCCGTGCTCTCGTACCACGGCTCTCTGGTTGTTTGGGGGCACAAAGTTGGGAGTCGAGCTGTCTGGCCTGGTGTGTTGTTGTCCCCGCAGATGGCTGGCGAGCTGCAGGCTCTCAGCCCTCCCAGGTGGAGAGACAAATGGGGAGGTGTGTGCGTGTGCACATCCTGGCCGTGTATCTGTTTGGGACATGGGCAGTAGGGGAGGAGGGTGTGTGTCCATGTCCATGCATGCACATCCTGGCCGTGTATCTGTTTGGGGCAGGTGCACGCAATCTCCAGAGGGTTTATAGAGTCCAAGGCTAGAAGGGACCTTGCTGATCAGCAAGTCTGACATCCTGTGTCACACAGGCCATGGGACTTCCCTGAATCAGTTCCTGTTGGATCTACAGCCCATCTTTTGGTTTCAGTATTTCCAGTGATGGAGAATCCCCCACAGCTCTAGGTAAATTGTCCCAATGGTTAATTACTCTCACTCTTAAACATTTGCACTTTATTTCCGGTCTGAATATGTCTCGTTTCAACTTCCCAGCTGTTGGCTCCTGTTAGATTTTTGTCTGCTAGACTGAAGAGCCCGTGATCAAATAGCTTGTTCCCCAGGAAGGTACTTACAGACGGTGAGAAAAGTCATCCCTTAAACTTCTCTCTAAACACATGGAGCTCTGTCACTGTAAGGCAGGTTTTCCAGCCCTTTCATCAGTCTCATGGGTCTTCTCTGAACCCTCTCCAGTTTAAACTGATCCAATTTCTCATGCAGGTTTGGCTACTAGAAGGAGGTTTTCATTCTCTCCCTTCCTTTCCTGGCTCCGTTCCCCATCTCCTTTCCTCCTTTCTCGTTCCCCTGCTTTGTGCCCGCTCTCCATTCCTCCTACAGGTTTTACTGGGACCTCATCATGCTGCTGCTGATGGTGGGGAACCTGATCATCCTGCCCGTAGGCATCACCTTTTTCAAGGATGAGAACACACCACCTTGGATTGTCTTCAACGTGCTCTCGGACACCTTCTTCCTGGCCGACCTGGTGTTGAACTTCCGCACGGGCATCGTGGTGGAGGACAACACGGAGATCATCCTGGACCCGCACACCATCAAGATGAAGTACCTGAAGAGCTGGTTCCTGGTCGATTTCATCTCCTCCATCCCCGTGGATTACATCTTCCTCATCGTCGACCTGGAGACTCAGGTGGAATCCGACGTCTACAAGACAGCGCGGGCCCTGCGCATCGTGCGCTTCACCAAGATCCTCAGCCTGCTACGCCTCCTGCGCCTGTCCCGCCTCATCCGCTACATTCACCAGTGGGAGGAGGTGGGACTGCCAGGGGAAGGAGGGTGGATCATTTTGGGGGATCCCTGCCTGGAAGGATCAAGGGGGAGGTTCAGAACCCCTGGCCAGGGGGAGGGGCATCTTGGGGACCTGTGGCTGCGAGGCTGAAGGAGCTTTTGTGGGGGGTTCAGGGGCATTTGGGGTCCTCCCCTGCGGGTACCTGGAGAAGAGAGCTGGCTTTTCACAGTCTTCCTCCCGTCTTGTCCCCTTGCTCAGATTTTCCACATGACCTACGACCTGGCCAGCGCCGTGGTGCGGATCGTTAACCTCATTGGCATGATGCTGCTGCTGTGCCACTGGGACGGCTGCCTGCAGTTCCTGGTGCCCATGCTGCAGGATTTTCCTGAGGACTGCTGGGTCTCCATCAATCACATGGTGGTGAGTGCCCCGCCCGGCTCGTCTGCACTGGAGCCTGAGATCCCCAGGATCTTCGTGTATCCCTGAATTTGCTGCCCACTGGGGTGGGGCTGTTGGGCTCCAGCCTGTCCCTTCCTTGCGGTCTCTGCTCTCCTCAGCATCTGTCACCCATTCTGGTCTAAGAGACCCCTGAGGCGGAGCGGTGCCATCCGCTGCCCTGGTGCCCATCATGGGACATAAGGAGCAAATCCTTTATTTTACAAGGCAGTTGTTTAAAACCATCCCCCATCCCAGACTGCCGCAACAGAGCGGTGTTCCTGTGGGCTCCCGGAGGAGTTGTGCCCAGGAGCAGGCTGGCTGGGGAACAATGGGGGGAATCCCTGTCCAGGGCCATGGGCTCCGTGCAGAGTCCCAGTCTCCACTGTGACACGCGCACTGTGTCACTCTGTTAACAATGAATGTGCTGGAAGGCAGATCCCCTCCCACCCTCAGCGGCCAGGGGCTGCGTGGGGTCAATGAGGGCAGAATTTGATCTCCCTGCCCCGTCCCCAAGCCAGGCTGGCCCTGCAGGGCTAACAGGAGAACTGCCTTTGGGGGGGTTGATCTCCTGAGTGAGAGACTGGGGCAGCCGTCTGTGTAATGGGGATCGTGGCATGTGCATGGGGTGAGGGAGGCTTAGTGTTTATAAAGGGACAGGCAGGTGATAAATAAACCTTACGCTGATGGCTCCAGCCTGGGAGACCTCATGGACCAGACCATCAGGCATGTTCCAGGCTGGGAGCGTCCCCTGGCACACACACTCTTACACCCCCCCAGGTGCACACTTTTACACCTGTGCTAATTACACGTGGACACATGTGCTGTCCAGCTGGGGGCTGATGGAGTCTGATTGCAGCCCTGCAGGCATCAGTCAGACGGGGAATCTCTCAATCTGGGCGTGTCCCTGCTGCAGCACATCTCCTGCTGCCTCCCTGGGAGCTGGGCTGGGGGCAAAGCCTCTGGTCCCTAGATCAGCCCAGAAGCCGCTGCCCCTGGGGAATGGGGCCCTGCCCCGGGGTGTGAGGCCACAGACATGCTCCCCTGCTGGCTGGGAGTTCACGTTTCCCCCACCCTGGGATGGGAGACACAGAGAGGCTGCGTATTCAGAGAAATCCCTGGCTGCAGTGCCAGGAGTTAGCCCGGCTGCAGCCTGCTCAGGTGCCCTCCTGTCTGCAGAACGACTCCTGGGGGAAGCAGTACTCCCATGCCTTGTTTAAGGCCATGAGCCACATGCTCTGCATTGGGTACGGCCAGCAAGCTCCGGAGGGGATGACCGACGTCTGGCTCACCATGCTCAGCATGATTGTGGGTGCCACCTGCTACGCCATGTTCATTGGCCACGCCACTGCCCTCATCCAGTCGCTGGACTCCTCCCGCCGGCAGTACCAGGAGAAGGTGAGTGCCCTACAGGGCTTGGGGGAGTGAAGCAGGCCCCAAAGCTCAGGCAGGGCGGTAAGGGGCAGGCCTTGAGGCAAGCAGGGGAGGTGATGGGCTGGTGTGGGGGAGATAGGGCCTGGGTATGAGCTGGGAATGAACAGATACTTGTGTCACTAAACACTGCGCGACCCATGCCGCTCCTTGCCAGCTTCTCCCCTGGTTCTATCCCGCGTCGGCACACCTGGCCCAGGGCTGCCTGGTTCCAGGCCTGCGGAGGCTGTCTGGCACCACACTGCACTCTTCACTCTTGCCCTGGGGCTCGGGCCGCAGGCATGGGCCCCCTCCCACCCACCTATGGAGCCCCTGCCCTTCCCATCTGGGTGTTTCCAGCCTTGGCATGAGCGTTTCTGTCTGTCCCTCCAGTACAAACAGGTGGAGCAGTACATGTCGTTCCACAAGCTGCCTGGGGACACGCGCCAGCGGATCCATGAGTACTATGAGCACCGCTACCAGGGCAAGATGTTTGATGAGGAGAACATCCTGGGGGAGCTGAGTGAGCCTCTCAAAGAGGTAGGGAGTTCTGGAGCCAGGGCCAGCCCTGCCGCCCCCTCTGGGCGGGTGACTGCTGGAGCCAGCCCCGCCGCCCCCTCTGGGGGTGATCGCTGGCGGGTTGCTGCTCTCAGAGGGGTATATTGCTTCCAAGTGACCCTCTTTGCTGCCCTCCTCCCAGGAAATCATCAACTTTAACTGCCGGAACCTGGTGGCCAACATGCCGCTGTTCGCCAGCGCCGACCCCAACTTTGTGACGGCCACGCTGACCAAGCTGCGCTTCGAGGTCTTCCAGCCTGGGGACTTCATCATCCGCGAGGGCACCGTGGGCAAGAAGATGTACTTCATCCAGCACGGCGTGGTCAGCATCCTCACCAAGGGCAACAAGGAGACCAAGCTGTCCGACGGCTCCTACTTCGGGGGTGAGGCTGGGCCGGGAGAGGAAGGAAACGGCCATGCAGCTCCCCAGATGGGAGGGGGTGTCTGTGGGATGGAGATGTGACAGGATCCCCGGGGTGCAGCCTGGAAGCGTGGGACCGCTGTGCCCCCTTAACTCTCTCCAGCCTGGGTGTCTCTCACAATGCCTGGCTACTGACCAGCCGCAACCCCTCCAGACGCTGTGATCACTCAGCACAGCTGCGTGTGGAGTCCCACACCCAGCTAGATTGCATGAATGCTCCCAGAGCCACTCATGAATCAGACAGGGAAAGACACCAGCCGAATCCCCCCAGCTCCCAGCACTGTGCCTCAGGAATATACCGTCTTGCACTGCTCAAGACAAGCAATGCAGATTTATTAATTGGTTCTCCACTTCAACAATGGAAAGGTGGACATACACCAGCCTTTGCAAACCTGAGCAGTTATGCCACACACTTCATACAAACTCACTGGTAAAGATAAACAGTAAAATAAATTTATTGTCTACAAAAGATAGATTTTAAGTGGTATTAAGTGATAGGCAAAAAGTCAGTTAGTTACCAAAAGAAAAGAAAATATAAGCCCGCAGTCTAAACTCTGAACCCTATTAGGCTGGGCAACATCTAGATTAAGCAGTTTTTCTCACCCCACTGGATATTGCAGTTCATAGTACACAGATTTCAGCCTTGAAATCTGGGCCAGAGTCCTCTGTTGGAGTCTCAAGTCTTCAGTGTCCTTGTTGCTTGCAGCATAGGTGAGGGCAGGAGAAAGGCCAAGCATGGGTCCACTGTGTCTGTTTTATACCCTTAGTCCATGTGCTTGGAGAACATAAGTCCAGGCATGTCTGGGGGGCATTGCTGAGTCCCCAGGCAAGGTTGAGCAATTCCCCTGGTGTGGCCCCATGCAGGTGAGTCATTGCATTGTAGCTCCCTTGCTGGACAATAGCTGGTGATGGGTTGTTTGACACCCCGCCCGGGTGTTGGTTACTTTCCTGCTGTTGACTCTGGGGGCGGGGGGCTAATACCTGGCTGATTCCCCAACTTACAGCCTGTTTTAGTGACAACCATACAACACAATTCTCATAACTTCATATTCATTAATGATCTACATATATGGATAGAAAAATGACTTTCAGTACCTCACACAGCCTGTTTTATATGCAAGTTCACAGTCATATATAAATGAGGAAAATGGGGGTACAGGGCACTCCCCCAAGGTACAGAATGTCACAGGAGAATCCTAGCCCCAGCTGTTGTACTCCTGTGCCCACCCCTTCATGGCCCTAACTTAGGCTCCCACCCACCTGGGTTTACGAAGGTGCCCCTCACCCTACAATCTAAGGCTTCTTTGAGTTAAAATACTTAGGAATCTGCTGCTCATGCTGAGGAGGGAGTCTTGTCCAATGGTTTGAACTGGAGGGGCTGGGAGCCAGGACTCCTGGGTTCTCTCTCCAGCTCTGGGATGGAAAGGGAGCGATGTCTAGTGGTTAGAGCAAGGTGTGGCCATACTGGACAAGACTCCTGGGTTCTCTCTCCAGCTCTGGGAAGGCAAGTGGGGGTAAGAATGGGGGAGGAGGAGGGGCTGGGAGCCAGGACTCCTGGGTTTTCTCTCCAGCTACGGGAGGGAGAAGGAGCGGTGTCTAGGGTTAGAGCAAGGTGTGGCCATGCCAGACAGGACTCCTGGGTTCTGTTCCCGACTCTGTAGTGGCTGTTGCGTTGCCTGGGATCAGTCCCTTCCCAACTTTGTGCTTCAGTTTCGTTCAGCTCACAAGCTCCTGTAACATAAGAGGCACTAGACAAGGTAACCGTCTCCCCTTCTCTGGCTGGGGGGTCAGTGCCAGCAGGGCGGTGGCCATGGCCATGATGCCGAGCCCTGTGTCCCCACAGAGATCTGCCTGCTGACGCGGGGGAGGCGCACGGCCAGCGTCCGGGCCGACACCTACTGCCGCCTCTACTCGCTCTCGGTGGATAACTTCAACGAGGTGCTGGAGGAGCACCCCATGATGCGTAGGGCCTTCGAGACCGTGGCCATGGACCGCCTGGACCGCATCGGTGAGGGAGCGCCCGCCCCAGGTGCATGCCAGCCACCCCCGCGAATCTCCTTGCTCCCAGGCAGCTGCTGCACTGGCACATACCCCCTGCTCCCCGACCCCCTTCCCCTGTCCTTGGGCCCCTAACGTCAGGGGCATTTCTTTCCCTGCCTACTTCGGGGCTGGGCTGAGGAGCCTGCTCTGGGATTCCCTCCCTCTCTCCAGGAGGGGGTAAGGGGAGCTGCTATATGGCATCGCTTTTGTTCACAAGGAGCGTCTGTAAGTTACCTCTCCCAAGCTCAGCGTCCCACTGCCTCCCCCTTGCACTCCTCACTAGTGAGGGCCGACCTGACTAGCTGCTGGCCCTGGGGGCAAATGGGACCCAAGGGTGCCAGGCCTACACCCTTCTCACACAGCCGTAGATACACTCTGCCAAGAAAACGGCTAGTGTCACGTAACCCCATGGTAGGAGCAGGGAGCCAGGACTCCTGGGTTCTATCCCCCGCTCCTCACCCTCCCTGTCTGTAAGGCGGTGGAGATTCTCATATCTGCCTGCTACTCCCGTGGTGCCCCTGGCCCTGGGGCACAGCTCAGGCAGGTGTTGGTGACCCTGTCTTTTCTCTCTGCCCCTCAGGTAAGAAGAACTCCATCCTCCTGCGCAAGCGAGCAGAGCACAGCTCGGGGGCCATGAACAACGAGATGATCCAGCAGATCGTCAAGCACGACCGGGACATGGCCCACAACATCCAGGACCTGCAGCAGATGGCGGTGGGCCGGGAGCTGAGTGGCAAGCCAGTGATCTGGGAGCCCCTGGTGCATGCGCCACTGCAAACGGCAGCTGCCACCACCAACGTGGCCATTGCCTTGACTCACCAGCAGAGCCTGCAGGCCCACATCTTCCTGCCACCCTCCTCCATCTCCAGCCCACTCTCACCTGAGGCCACCCTGCTCACCAGGCAAGTGCGCAGGTCCCAGCCCAGCCTGGGGGGCTCCCGGCCCTCCTCGGTGAGCTCCCAGTCCGGCGTACAGTCCCACCTGCAGACGCCTGCGGCCAACTCCCCTTCATCCCCCATGGTCCAGTCCCAGTCGCCTCTGGAAAGTGGGGGTCAGAAAGCTGGCCACGTGGGACTGCCCCAGCCAAGGCTGGTGCAGAAGGGAGAGCCCCTGGCAATAGCAAAGCAGCCCCAGACGGGCTCCCAACCCCAGCTCTCCAAGTCCCGAGGCACCTCAGTTTCCACGTCACTTCTCCAGCAGCCAGCAGGGGCTCCGTCCCCCAGCTCTGAGCAGGCGCTCCCAGCAGGGAGAACTCTCCACTACAGCCTGTCCCGAGCCACCGGCTCCCACATCTCTCTGCTGATGCAGCCGCAGCAGCTGGTGAAGCACAGAAGCATCCAGGGCCTACCCATCGGGAGGCTCACCCAGGACGTCCGGCTCCTGTCAGCATCTCAGCCATCCCTGCCCAATAAAGTCGCCCAGCAAGTGGACGGGAGCTCCTCCCATCAGGGCAGAAAGTCAGCGGGGAACCTGACTCACAGGTCATCTCCCTCGGTAGCTGGACTCCTCACCAAGCCACCTCCTGGGGTTCCAGGCCAGCCAGCACACCCGCAGCAGATGCCTTCAGGATCTTTGGTCCAATCCAGCCGGCCCGTGAGCGGAGCGTCCACCCCGCAGTCTCCCGTCTCCATGCCCAGGCATGCGGCAGGCCCCTCCCGCAAGGGCTCCGTGGCATTCAGCCCTGAGGTGGAAAGTGGGAAGCCCAAACTCCCGTCCAACATATGAGAGCCCAGGGCTGGGTCCAAGCATGGGGGGGAGAGGAGTGGGCTCGCTGGAGAGCCGTGCTCCTGGGGCTGTTTGACATGGGGTGGGGGCAGGGAGAAAGGGGGACAGCCTCCCCCAAGGCCCCCACCCAGGGCTGAGGCTGAGTGGGCAAGGAGAGGAGATGGCCAGGGGTGACCACCTACCGCAGACACTGACTCTGCCAGAGTCATGTGCCTGGCTGCAGGGCAGGCTCTGCCCAGGGGTCGCTCTGGGATTCTCCTGACTCCACTGAGGACAGGAAGCCACTAGAAGGCTGCCCCCATCTGCACCGCAGAGCAAGGGGGCAGCAGGGCTGTGGGCTGGGCTGACTCCATCAGTGCCCTCTGCCTCTCCCTGGGAACACCAACCTTGCAATGGGACCCTGCCGCTACTCTGTCCCCTTGCCATGGGGCCCTGCCCTATTCCTCACTCCACCCACTCCCAATGGGCCCAGCCCCTGCCCTGCAGGGCATAGGCCCCACCGTGGTGAGCAGCGTCAGGAAGGCACTCGGCGGCTCCTCCCACTCATGTTTCTCCATTAGGAAATTCTCCCAGCCCCCCCCACCTTGCCCATCCCTCAGCTGCATCCCCACAATGGCCTGGTTGAAGCCTTTGCCCTGTGGGGGGGGGGGGGAGGGGGATAGGGCCAGAGCCCCAGGGTGAGGCCTTTCCCCTCACCCACAGCAGGGGACAGAGTGGAGGGGATGGACCCCATGGAGAGGCCTTTGCACTGCGGGAGGGCAGAGTGGGAGGAGGTGGGGGGTTGCAAGGTTGCTGAAAACTGGAATTCCCCTCACTCCAGCTCCCAAGCCTCTGTACCCAGAGCAGGATGCCGGGAGCCCCACGGCACTGGCTGCCATGGCCAACCCAGGAAGCCAAGATGAATCCATCCAGCACCCCATGGTCCCAGGCAGCTCCGAGTCCCCAGGACTCCAAGTGTCTCCCCTCTCTCCCCCTCATCCCCAGCTGGTCTAGGCTGAGAGGCCACACAGATCCTCATGCACGTGGCCTCTGCCCCCAGAGACCTGGCAAGTCACTGCCACTTGTGAACACGTCTCAGCCACCCTGTCTCCCATAGGGTGAGGTTAAATGTGTGCAGGAGCTTATGCGAGTGCCTCTCGCCCTAGAGAACCCAGTTCCCTGGGGAAGGGAGGCATGGGGAGGAGGCATGTCTCATCCCCCACTGCTCCGAGCAGCTGGTCTTTATAGTCAGCTGGTCCCTGTAGAAAGGGGGAGATCTGGACCCAGCAGAAGGGGGCCGTGGGCCAGGGCTGTCCTGGCTGTAACTGTCTGGGCTGGATTTGAGCTGGTGGGTTCCCTCCACCTCACAGCTCCTGGCCTGTCCTGGGGTCCAGGAGGCTGCCTCTGAGGACATAGGCCCAGTGCTGGCTTCCCTGAGGGGCGTGTTCCTGATATCCGTGGCTTGTCAGGAGAAGATTAATCAACTCCCCTTGGTGCAAAGAGCCAGGCCTGGAAATACAAAAGCTGAATAGAAATGTCCCGAGGTCCCCCAGGGCCTGTGCTGGGAGGCCAAAGGTGATGTGCGTTCCTATGAGACAGGCTCTGATGGATGTTCTGGGAGCCTCGGGGCAGCCAGACCCAGAGACCTGACTGAAGGGCCTCCTTAGCTGGGTCTTGTCCCCTACACTGTATCGAGTCAGGGAGCACAGGGGCTGCAGTTCAGGGCTCTCAGCGTCACCCCGAGATGTGCATTTCTCACTGAGCGTGTTCTTGGCAGACCAGACGGTTTCCTGCTCCCCTCTTGTGGGAAGGGACTTGGAAAGAGTTTTGCTACCTCTGCTCTCAACTGCTAGCTCCTGCACCCCAGGAGGGTCTTTGAGAGCTGGGCCAGGGGGTTTCTCTCTTCTTACCTTGCAGGCTGGTGCCCATTGCCTGGGGTTAGTCTGAGTGAGCAGCACTGTCCCAGGGAGTTGGGTGTCGGGAAGGGTTGGTCCCCACCCCCTGTCCATGGTCAAGTCTTGCTAAAGACCCAGCCCCAGTTTCTTGAAGTCAGTCCAAGATGCTCTTCATCAGCATTAAAGTGACTCCAGGAAGATTGCAGAGGAGATGCTCATGTCCCCCCACCCCATGCCTGTCAGTCACGCCCCAATCACTGCCTGGATCTCAGCTCGAAGCAATGTTGCTTCCTGCACTTGTAGCCTCCCTAGGGGAGGATTCTGCGTCCCTGTACAGAAGGGTTGGGATTTCCAGGGAGTCTCCCGGCTCAGCCCGAGCTGCCCCTCTCCAGGAACCAGTAGTTAGCAATGTGTGTGCGAGTCGTGGCTCTGCTAAGCAGCTGAATTCTGCTTACGGTGTTGCTTTTGGGTCCAAACGTGTTACTGATTCGGGTTAGAGTAGTGCCCCCCCCCCCAAATCCGCTGTGCTGTATAGCTTCTTCTTTCCACTACCAGAGTCAGGAAAATCGTATCTTGTAGTCCCTGCTCTGGGAGCACTGACAGTGTCAGCAATATGGAGCTCAGCCCTGTAGGTACCTGTGCTAGAGGTGATAGGCCCAGCCATGGCTAGGCACAGTGTTGGGCTAGGGGTTCTTTTCGTACAATACTTCTTAAAGGTACGTTGTTTAGTTCTTCTCTTCATTTGTATTTTGGGATGTTGGGACCAGAGTCTTCACTGCAGGATGAGGAGGGCGAGCTCAGCCCTTGGCAGAGTTCGGTCCAGTGGGAATCACTTTGATGCCTGTATTGGAGGGAGTATTCAGCACTGCCTTCTCATGGACTTGAGTGTCCTTTCCCTCTGTCCCTGCGTCCCCCCATTCCACTTGGCCCCGTGTGTCTGTCCCAGCAGCTCCTCTGGGAGGGGCCTGCAGTCAGGTCGCTTAGATTCAAACATTCCAGGATCTTCTTGTTTACACTACGTAACGTAGAGACATTTGTAGCAATTGTGGTAGGATTCCATTGAGAGGAAAAGTGCCAAGGTGTGGGCTGGCCCAGGCGGCAACCGCAGAGCCGTGGCCCTCCTTCCACAGCGTCTGGAACCTTTCTGGTCTTTCCAGAGAGGAAACCATACTCTCTGCAGCTGTGTCACCCCGCGGCTCTTCCCCTGCAGGTTCCCCGTCATTGCTAACCCTGGGCAGCCTTGCTGCTGAGAGTGCCAGCATTCACGGTGCTCTGGGTAACCCCCGGCACAGTACCACGGTGCTGCCCGGCCTTGTTCTAAGCAGGGCTACAAACACGGCAGCCGTGTCTGTTTGTGTCACCCCAAGGAGGCGGGGAGGGCGGGGCGCTAGATGCTGCCCTAGAGAGAGGCTGTCACTTCCAGCCATATTAGCAACAGGGGGAGAGGCCACAGTAGAAGCACCCTGTGTGTGTGTGTGTGTGTGTGTGTGTGTATGCGCGAGTCTAGTCACCAAAGACCACGATCCTTCACTCTTGCACTCACAGCAGTCGATGTACAGAGCTTGTAGTTTTCATATTGCAGAGACTTTAAAAGCGTTTTTTAATTTTTGGTCGTTGTACATAACAGATTTAAATAATAAAGAGCGACTCCAAGCTGGCATCTAACTGCACCTCTGTCAATAAAGCAGCTGTGGCTCAGTGAAATGCTGCCCACCCCATCACCTGCTGCTGGGGTTAGAGAAGCCCCTAGCCCCTGCTCTTCAGCAGTCACAGCTCTAGATGTCCCCCTGCCAGTGGCTTCTTTGGTCATGGTGCCTATTAGTGACACTGAGGCAGAGAGAAGGCAGCCCCCGCCCCCCGGTGCCCTTTGCTCAGGTGGTGCCTAGGCAGGCACCTTGGTGCTGGCAGTTCAGGGTCTGCCTTGCTCTTTGGGACAGTTAAGGGTAATTCTCAAAGCCCTTCAACCCTGATGAAATTGTAATGGTGCCTGGGCTTGTCCAGAGACTGCAATGAAACAGGACAATCCCTAGACCAATGGCCCATGCAAATCCAAATCTAGCTCCTGGGAGGGGATTGTACATGAGCGTGGGGGAAAAACTCTATCCCCCAAGCCCTCATTGGAGCCAGGAAGCTGTGCAGCAGAGGGCAGGCAAGGCCAAACAGAGAGACGGGGGCAGAGACTGGGCTCTCCCTGAGATTTCACTGGGGGCTTGATGGGCCAGCACAGTTGTTCTAGACAGGAGGCACTGCAGAGAAGGCTCTCACCGCACAGAGAGGAGGCAGCCAATGTTAGCTGAACACAGGGAGCTGGGGGAGGGGGTGGCTTGACTGGGGTAAGGCTGTGGTGGAGTTTAAGAGCAAGGATAGGTACTGAGTCTGCAGTTTGCACTTGGCCCTCACTTCCATCTCAGAAGCCAAGAGGAGGGTGTGGCGGCATTGTACCCCCACCCCCACAGCACCCACTCCCCAACAGGCAGCAAAGCCTGGCTGCACGGCAGCAGCAGGGACACACCCCCCCCTTTATTTGGGGATTAGTGTTTAATCTTTAGAGTTTTTCTTCCATTTATTAACTGGGGCCGGGGGGGATCTTGCCTGATTGCAGCTTGGACTTTAGGCATTAAGTAGATTAAATCAAGGTCACACAGGGCACGATGGGCTGGTGCTGGGGATCCAAGCGCCCCTGTAGCCAACGAACATTTCTACAGGGAGCAGAAACCTCTGTGGTGTGTGCAGCACCCAGGCGAAACCATCCCCTCAGAGCAAGCCCAAAGCAAGTCCCACCGGCCCTGCCCTGGGGCATCGATCTGACCCCATCCACAGGCAGCTGCTGCAGTCTTACAGTAGCCCACTAGCCAGTCCAAGATGGGGCAAAGCAGAGGGAGTGACCTCAAAGTAGTGCCCAGCGGAATGCCAGTGCTGCAAGCTTCCCTGCAGCAGTGCCCTGTCAGTCCCCAGTTAGGCCCCCAGCACTGTGAGCTGGCCCCTGGCCATACCCCGCTGGGACTCCCAGTACTGCCCCTGAGGCACAGCAGTGTCTGTCTGCCCCCCCCCCCCAGCAGCAGGAGCCCATGTCTGTCCCCAGGACATTTGCTCACTGGTGGCACTAGCAGCAGCCCCTCATTATGCAGAAATTAGGCTCCATGACCCAGGAGGAGCTCAGCCCCGATTAGCTGGTTTCTCGTTAATTTGATTAGTTCAGATTATGCTGACTGGGCCTTGAGCTCCCTGCGTTCCAGGGTTCCCGTTTGGGAATGCCAGGTGCGGCGGTGCAGCCTACCAGCTGTTTGTCTGGACGACCGTAGCGGTGCTGACAGCCGCCAGGGAGAGGACCCCCTCGCTGGGAATCCCTCTGGAGTAAGGCGCATGTCAGGGCCTGGCTCTCACGGGCCTGAAGCTCAGCCACACACCTTACACCAGGGCCCTTCTGCTCCCTCACCCATGCGCCCAAGGAAAGGGGGGTGCAGGGACATCTGCTGGGAGCCCCGGGGCTGGGCCATTGTATAGAAATTGGAACAGGTTCTACCTAGCCTGGCCCCTGGGGCTTGGGCAGGCCTGTTCTCCTGGGCTTTGCTCCTTCCAGAGGGGGCTCCCCCCGGAGATGACTATGAGTAACCACATCACAGTTAACCCTTTGGGTCCCATAAGAAGGTGGGAAATTACACTGCCCCCCTGCACAGATCAGCTTTGTGGGTGCAGGTCCTTGGGGCCCAGCAGGGCCCTGTCCAGGCTGTTTTCTTGCATGCACTG